AAGTAAAGATCAACTTGCCTCTCTTGGATGCTATAAAGCAAATCCCTCCCTATGCAAAATTTCTTAAGGATTTGTGCACTCAAAAGCGCACTTCCAAAAATCATTTGCCAAAGAAGGTAAGATTAACTGAAAATGTGAGTGCAATCATTCAACACAGTGCTCCTCCAAAGTATAAGGATCCGGGTGCCCCAACTATCTCGTGTGTCATTGGCGATAACAAGATAGAGAGGGCCCTTCTTGACTTAATTAGGAGCTAGTGTAAATTTGATTCCATATTCAGTTTACTTACAACTAGGTTTGGGGGATTTAAAGCCAACCTCCGTGGTCTTGCAGCTTGCCGACAGATTAGTTAAGTACCCATGGGGCATTCTTGAGGATGTCATTATCAAAGTGGACAAATTCTACTTCCCGATAGACTTTGTGGTTCTTGACACAGAACCGGTCCATGACCCAAAGAAGCATATTCCCGTGATCCTTGGTAGGCCATTTTTAGCTACGGCTAACGCTTCAATTAATTGCCGAACCGGGGTGATGGATATCGCCTTTGGAAATATGTAAGTCAAACTCCACATCTTCCATGCAACTCAACATCCTTCCAATGAGGATGATTGTTTCCTTATCGATGTGGTAGATGAAGTGGTCGAAGAATCTCTCCCCTTCATTCTAAGCAAAGATCCTTTGGAAACTTGCATGTCTCACTTTGACTTCTCAAACTTTGATATTGACCAATCAATCCAAGAAGTAAACTCTTTGTTTGACATTAATGCTATCATGAACTGTCTTTCTTGGAAGGTACCAAAAGAACCACTTCCTCAGCTTTCCACTACTCCTCCGGTCCCTTCCTTGAAATCTCCACCACAACTTGAATTAAAGCCGTTCCCGGCCCACCTTAAGTATGTGTTTCTTGGTGCGAGTAAAACTTTTCCAGTCATCATTGCTTCTGACCTTTTAAAGGATCAAGAAACTAGCCTTTTAGCGGTGCTATAAGAGCACAAAGAAGCTATTGGCTAGGCAGTGGCTGATTTGAAAGGAATCAACCCTTCTATTTGTATGCATCGCATCCATATGGAGGAGGACGCTTAACCTTCTAGAGAGGTGCAGCGTAAGTTGAATCCCAACATGAAGGAAGTGGTCATGAAAGAAGTGATCAAGCTACTTGATGCGGGAATCATCTACCCCATCTCTGATAACAAGTGGGTGAGCCCCACTCAAGTTGTACCCAAGAAATCTGGCCTCACCGTCGTTGAAAATTCTACGGGAGAGCTCGTGCCACAACGCACCACCACCGGGTAACATGTGTGCATTGATTATCGGAAACTAAACTCTACCACTAGGAAGGATCATTTTCCACTTCCATTCATTAATCAAATCCTAGAAAGGTTAGCCGGCTAAAGTTCTATTGTTTCCTTGATGGTTATTCCGACTATAACCAAGTGGCAATTGATCCGCAAGATCAAGAGAAGACCACATTCACATACCCCTTCAGAACCTTTGCTTATAGACGCATGCCTTTTGGGCTATGCAATGCTCCAGCCACGTTCCAAAGATGCATGATGTCCATATTTTCGGATATGGTTGAAAAGTTCTTAGAGGTGTTCATGGACGAATTTTTCATCTTTGGATCCTCCTTTGACTCGTGTTTCCACAATTTATCTCTTATACTCCAAAGCTGTAAGGAGACGAATCTAATTCTAAGTTGGGAGAAAAGCCATTTTATGGTCCAAGAAGGCATTGTTCTAGGACATGTCATTTCTAAACGGGGAATTGAGGTGGACAAAGCTAAAGTTAAGTTAATCTCTAATCTTCCTCCTCCAAATTCTGTCCGTCAAATCCGTTCCTTTCTTGGCTATGCTGGCTTCTATCGTCACTTCATCAAAGACTTTAGCAAAATTTCTCGGCCCTTGTGTAATCTTCTTGCCAAGGATGTTCTGTTCAATTTTGATGAAGCTTGTATGGAAACTTTCATAAAACCTCGCACTCTCCTCACAACTGCCCCAATCATGAAACCGCCTAATTGGTCTCTTCCATTTGAGATCATGTGTGATGCATCCGATTATGCATGAGGTGCGATTTTGGGCCAACGTGTGGATAAACTTCCATACGTCATCTATTATGCTAGCAAGACATTCTCCGACACCCAGTTAAATTACACCACCACTGAGAAAGAATTGCTAGCTGTGGTGTATGCCTTGGATAAATTCCGTTCCTATCTTCTTGCATCCAAGGTTATTGTTTTCTTGGATTATGCCGCTCTTAGGCATTTGCTCGCTAAAAAAGAGATCAAACCCCGCCTAATTCAATAGATACTTTTACTTCAAGTGTTTGACATCGAAATCCGGGACGAAAAAGGGATCGACAATGTTGTCGCAGACCATCTATCTCGCTTACTCATTGAGAAATCCTCTGCTTTTGCTGCGGTCCGGGACTCCTTTCCGGATGACCAACTTTTTCAGATATCCCATTCAAGTCTCCCTTGGTTTGCGGATATTGTCAACTATCTAGCGGTAGGCAAAATTCCATCCAATTGGTCCAAACAAGAGAAAGACCGGTTCTTCTCCCAAGTCAAACATTTCTTTTGGGAAGATCCGGAGTTGTTTAAATATTGCCCGGATCAAATCATCCAGCGTTGCATCCCTAAAACCGAAACTACAAGTGTCCTAAATTTCTGCCACACTCTTGCTTGTGGAGGCCACTTTAGTGCCAAAAAGACCGCTGACAAAGTCCTTCAGAGCGGATTTTATTGGTAATCTTTGTTTCGGGACGCATACAATTTCTGTAAATCATGTGAGCGATGTCAAAGGCTCGGCTCCATGTCCCGACGAGACGTGATGCCCCTCACTCCCATCTTAATCATAGAAATTTTTAATGTGTGGGGAATTGACTTCATAGGACCATTTCTATCTTTTTATGGCTATGAGTACATCCTTGTAGTGGTGGATTATGTGTCCAAATGGGTTGAAGCCACGGCTACTAAAACCAATGATCATAAAGTCGTGATCAAATTCATTCAGTCCAACATTTTCAGTCGTTTTGGTACGCCTCGACGAATCATCAATGACAGTGGATCTCATCAGAAATCGTTTATCTTAAATCCGTCCTTTCTAAGTACTCTGTCATTCACAAGGTTGCCACACCTTACCACCCTCAAACGAGTGGTCAAGTGGAAGTATCTAATCGGGAGATTAAGCATATCTTGGAAAAAACTGTTCGACCGGACCGTAAAGATTGGTCGTCAAGACTAAACAATGCGTTTTGGGTTTACCAGACAACTTACAAGACACCTATTGGCATGTCGCCATATCGACTTGTCTTTGGCAAAGCATGTCATCTCCCAGTTGAGCTAGAGCATCGTGCTTATTGGGCCATAAAAAGGCTCAACTTTGATCTCAAACAAGCCGGCTCTACTCATGCCTTGCAACTTAATGAACTTAAGGAAATTCACAATGAAGCTTATGAAAATGCCAAAATCTATAAGGCCAAGATCAAAGGATTCCATGACAAGCACATTGTCGACAAGTCTTTCGCCCCTAGACAAAAAGTCTGGCTTTTCAATTCCCGCTTGAAACTTTTTCCCAGTAAACTCCGGTCACGGTGGGATGGTCCATATATCGTTACTTCCGACTTTCCTTATGGTGCAGTCGAACTTCAAGATCCTACCGATGGATCTCTCTCTAAGGTTAATGGCCAAAGGCTTAAACCTTACATTGACGGCATAGTCCCTATCCGCAAAGTAGAGAAAGTCCTATTAATGAACCCAGTCTACGAGGACTAATGTGCGATCTTGCTTCATCTAGCTATCGACGTAAAACTTAGCACTCATGGGAAGCAATTCTTTCATTTTTCCGAGCTTCCGTTTTCTACATGTCCATTGCCATGAATTTTTCGGAAATTCATTAAGTTTGACCCAAAATGTTCATTCTTCCGAAATTATCTCGTCTAGCATTCTAGCGGTCACATTCGGCTTTCATTATTGTTTTCAGGTCTGAGTACCATTGCCGAAATTATTCAAAGTCATATGGGCATGTCTACCGTCCTATCTAGGGGTCTCTTATTGTTCGAATCTCATGGCCATCGTTTGTGAATTAGTTCATTCCATCTCATTCTCCGCGGTTATTACGCTCTTCGTCGTATTTCAATTCATGTTGGAAGTCCAAGTGACTCTGTCAGGGCCTTACAAAATCTGAGTAAGCTACACAAAGCAGCATCTCCAGAGCTCCCGCGGGCGCCCGCCGCGCCTCCGCAGGAGCCCCCCAAACCTACCAGTATACTCAGCAAACCTGCGGGGCCCCAGATGTCTCGCGGGCCCCCGTAAAATCCCCCAGTGACTCTCGTCAATCTGCGGGTGCCCGCGGAGCCCCTCCGCTGATATTAAATGGGCTTCCAAGCCTATTTTCCCCCTTCTTATTTCCTTTAAACCATTCTCTTTCTCTCAACCCTTGCCCCCACCCTCCTAAAAAACTCAAACCCTTCATTCTTTCTCCCTTCATTTCCAATCTTCCTCCATTCCCTCCATCCTCTTTCCTTCTTCTATCTTCCTCTCATCCTCAAGATCCTCCATCACCAAGCACAAGGCTTTGTGGGTTTCTCCATTGTAGGTAAGTCTGTAACCTTCGTTTTCTTTCAATTTTTGATCAAAGAAGGACGGTATTGCTTGTGTGGGAGGATATATGATTGTTGGGATTGTGCATTGTTGATTTTCAGGTTGAAATTTATAGGTTTCACTACAAGAAAAATGGCTTTTAACAATGAGCGAAAAACAGTTCTACAACGGGCATGGCCCGTTGTAGTATCCCCTGTCGTTGTTGACTTGGGGCTTTCTACGACGGTTCCAGCCCATTGTAGAAAGAGGGCTTTCTACGACGGGCAGCACCCCTTGTAAAAAAAGTGCTTTCGACGACGGGTCTGGCCCCTTGTAAAAAGTAATTTTTAAATAAAAAAAAAATTCAACGGTTACCTTACATTGCCCCAACACAAAATCAGTACAACTAAACACAACAATAAATCCACCCAAAGGTATATATATCCACACCAAGCCTTATACAAACAATATGATACAAGATGAAAAAGAGTTCAAGTCATATAAAAATGAAAATTTACATCTACTTCCCACTAATCACAAACAAATAGATCCCAAATTTATTTTATATTCATTAAAGATTACAAAGTTTCCTTCATTGTTACCATCTGTACAAGGATTAGAAAAGTTTCGATACCAACACAACCAAGGCATTTCCCATCACGCTCAATTGCAAAAACTTTCCCTCCAAAGCACCAAAGCATTCAAGGCAAGACTCCAAGCAGCTAAACATAACTGAAAACAAAGAAGAAAATTTTAGCTGAAACTCTCACTAAAGAACTCAAGAAAGAAAAAATATATTAAAATAAATAAATAAATCAGGGCAAACACAGATCTATGAATTAATATGCATGAAATAAGTGATAATAAAAAAATGTTCATGTAATATGCATGAAATGTGACAGATAATAGGTTGCTTTGGTAATATCTCCGATTTGCATTAAAATGAGCTGCTAGCCTACCATTAATTGTCTTAGGCCATTAATCTTTCAGAAAAAACTGGTAGTTAATAAGACTGAAACTCGCTCTCAACTTACGTCTGATGATGTTGGGCTGAAATTATACAAATTTAAGATCAGTCTCACATCAAATACAGGACATAAGCAAACAAGAAAGAATATTTAGGCACATTATCTTCAATAAGAGCTTCTGGTTAGGAGGCTTACACAACCACTAGAAGGAAGTGCCTTGTAAATTTCTATGTATTGTTGTCCGTGCAATAAAAGACGTGGATCAAATCTAGCAACAGAAAGTAGAATTTTAGTTAGTTTTCAATTTGCCAAGGTGAATGCGTGTATCGATGATTTATATAAAGGAGAGGTTAGGGCCTAATAGGCTAACAAAGTAGTGTTTGTAAATTATCAAATACCAGTGTGTACAAAGATGGAAAAGAACCTTAACCCCTTTCAAGATACATGAATACATACCGCAACCGTGGTAGCTGAGAAATTTGAAATTCAGGTCCATGAGAAAATAGAGCAGCAAAAGTTGGCAGGACCTACAAACTAGGAAATTAACATGAAATTATGTCATCTTCTGTCAAATGTAATATTTGGGCAAAATTCTTTTGCAAACATACTTAATATACTAACTTGAGTAGAACCAAAGGCAACCACAAAGAAAGTACCAATATTGTCCTACTAATGTTCACAGGGTATAACTAAGTACTCAAACAAGCACTTCAATGGAGAGTCTATAACCCCAGTCTCATTTTCCAGTTTGTATAACAGCCTGCAAAATCTTGTCTGTTTCTCATTTGTTTTTCAAAATTCCAATTTTCTGTGTTTAGATGCTAACCCAAGATTAAAATTTTCAAAGAACAATCAATATGTACATTCTCCTCATTTACCAAAAAAAAAAAAAAATTATTTATTTATTTTAAATTTTATATAAGCATAATTTTGACATTCGTCATATATAAATCTATCTTCTATTAAGACTATTAATCAAACTTTATGTTATTTAGGCAATTGGACTAGAAGATCAAAGTGATGGAGTACTTTAATGATTTTAATCACAATCTGGGTTTGAGCATCTTGGTTGAACTATGTCAGAACTTAGCATTCGAATTTCCCAAATTGATCCGTAAATCCCAACCAGTCTTTGAAGATAATAGAAAGGCAAATAATTAGTCTAAGAGTTACTGAATACATCAGCACTAATATACATAATCTTGATAAAAATATTAACAAGTAACCATGCAATGTGTGTGAAAGTAATATTCAAAAGCGTATAATGAGAGAATCTATAAACCTTGGTTTAGTAGTAGCGCGGATCGAAATCCTGTTCGTCGTGCTTTAAAGGCAGTCCACGTCTTTTACTAGATAATCCTGGTAACAACATAACATTCAATTAAATAATTACTATCTCCAGACGAGCACATGTATAATTACAAACACAAATACACCAATGCATATTATATGTGCAGATGGATATTGTTTATGACAATAGTGATTGGGGAAAACGTTATCAGTATGTCCCAGATTTCAGAACTAGGAAGAGTCGACTCAAATTAATACATTATCCGAATCAATTTAGCCTAATTAGGGTATCAAAACTCAGCAGTTCATAAACAGTCTTAATAGGGGTCAATGCTTGGTGCAATGATAGAAATATTACCTAGTAAGTGTATAGGGAAAGTTTAAATCGAAGAGCAGCCAATATGCCATTCCTATTTCAATCTAAGTCAAGAGAAATATGTAACACATAAAAACCCATGTTCAGGAATCAAAAAAAAAAGAAACCATAAAAGTTTTATTTTATATAAGAACAGATTATTATGACCAATCACAACACAAAGGATTTCTCTAAAGATGAATGACTTAAATTAATATATATATAGAAAGAGAGAGAGCTAAACATGAAGAACCTACTGGACATACACTTTAAGCAAAAATTTGCAATAAGTTGAAGATAAGGGATTATGACAGAACAAAAGTAATAGGAAGATTAATTATCTAGTTCATCAAGCTAATGCAGACTACAGTAATACAACGCGAATGGGTGTTACACCATTGTGACCTGGAGCTAACGGTTTCAAAATAAATAGCCTCCCCACATGGGGAGGTAGGCTGCATATGTACAACAAACACTCCCTAGATCCTGCAATGGCATTAGCCTGTGAGCCTCGTGCATTGGGCTAGCTCCTTTTCAGTAATACTAGGCTAATGAATACTAACTTGAAGAACCCACTTTGAAGCAAATAAAATCCATCAAAATTTAGTCATAAATTCAACAAAATTAACTCCAAGTTCACATCTTTGTACAAACTCATCAAATTGAGATCAATATAAGAAAGGCAGAAAAAATTAACTCCAAATTCACATCATTTAAGCAAAACAATTGATAGGAAGCAATGCTATAAAAAAATTACATACCTTAAGCATCATTTAAGCAAAAACTCATAAATGAAAGCTTATCCCAGCCCTGCATGTAAACCAAATAGTGTATCCCAAAAAAAGCACACCCAGGTATCCCAAAAAAAGATGATAATCTTGAACCTGTAAATAGAGAAAAAATTGGATGTAGAAAAAATTGAAGCCTGAATTCAAACTCTAATACATCCAACTTTCACACACAAAATCAGCAATTTCAATCCAAGGAAAAAAAATACATACCTCAAGCATCAATATTTAAGCAAAAACTCAGAAATGCAAGCTTATCCCACGTTCGGCCATGCATGTAAACCAAATAGCATTTTTCAGATACATATATCGTTAAAAACTTTTTAAAATGTGCTCAAAAAAGTATTTAGACTAACAAATTTTGATGAATCTGCTAGGCCATGCAATTGTTATTATTCTAGAAACTTGAACCCTCGACCTTCTACCATTAGACTACAATCCTTTCTGTATTTTGGGTTAATATGATGTGAATTGAATACCAAAGGGGAGACCAATGATGAGAGACAAAGTTGAAATACATCATCTAATTCCTCCTCCTTTTGGTTGTTGGAAAGAATAAAAAAGTGTTCCCAAGTTGGGGAGTTGAATGCTATTTGTTATTGTACAATAATATTTCAGTAATTGTTCCCAAGTTTATTGTACAATAATTATTTCAGTAACTGTTCCCAAGTTGGGGAGTTGGGAACAGTTACTGAAATTATGAAATAATTCTTGAATAGATAACATAACATGACAGTAGCGCTAATGCATGTGAGTAAGTTTTACCTTGTTGACTTGAACAATTAGTAATTGAAGATGGCTTACCAAATGTCCCTTTTAATTTGGTGAAATATGATGACTAATGATTCACTACTAGGCTTCCCTACTATTCCATCCTAGATTACTTGAATGCTAATTTATTTTATTTATTTTGTACTTGAATGTTATGTTTAAAAGTATTGAATAAATAGCATTTCAAAATTGAAATAGAAGACAATTTAATTTATTTTTTTCCAAAACATGGTTAAAGTGTGATTATAATATGATGTTGGTTTTAGTGGGATAAATACAAAATAGTACTTTAAACTACTATAAAAACTTAGTTAGGAAATGATACTTAGAACGATTATAGAGGTAGAAAGTTTTCCTAGCATTTTATATATTTAGTTAGGAAATGAAACTTAAAATTCTAAATAAATGGCTCTGCACCCTTGGTCCCCCAAACTTCTTTACTGAGTTGGATGGTTTGCCAAGAAAAGTATGATTTGATTTGTATTAACTGAGGATCCCTCCAAGACCGCATACCCATAGCTTGTTGACAGTTTTATCTCCACAATTTGGAAAACTAAGCCCTAGGACTGCATAGAATAGTGTTTTATTTTTGTCTTTTTTACCTAGTCAATAAAAATTTAAACCATTTCTCGATTTGCATGTTCTGTTCTTGAGTAAGGCCATACTAATGTTCTCCTCATTGGTTTAATTTTTTTGTTTTATCTAATTCATTTATGATTTAACTGAAAAGAAAGTCTGTTTTTGTGTATGTATGTTAATTGATGATTTAATTTTCTGAATTGTGTAGGCTGGAAGCTAAAAAAAAGCATGATTGCTTGTTTAATCATATTATCCTTAAGCTAGACTTCTTGGTTAAAGGGCAGCTAGGTACTGCAACTTGTTAATTTGTAATGTCACATTCAAATGTCCCAGTGCTAGATGCTTGAGGCTTGATAAGCTTGAAGAGGTTAGTTGATTAATCAAGTGTGCAATGTCAAATACTGGCTTTGTTGTTTGTTACATATACTGTTTTATATTTCATTTCTCTGATTCTTTGGTAAAGTAATAGGATCTCCTGGTCTAAGGTCCTAATACGTGGTATCATAGTGTTCATTAGCTAAAACGATGTCTGTCAGGCCTGGAACCCCGATTACCCAAAATCATATAAAATTGAATTGGGAACATCCATGGAAAGTTAGAAATACCCAATCAGAAAAATAATCCTCCAAGAACAAATTAATTCAAAAACAACAAAATATAAAATAATCAATTCTTAAATTTCACTGAAGCAAAACCAAAGAAATGAACCAAGAACAGAGATCAACATACGAACCTGGGTTATTTTCCTCAATCTGAAGGTGAAACTCGCAAAATTTGGGCTTAGAGTTAGGACTAGGGTTTCGTGTGGATTTTGGTTGAGGATCGATGTGTGCGAATTTGGGAGCTTAGACTAATCCGCCATGCTGTGAAGATGAAATAAAGAAGTAAATTAATGAGAGTTCAGAGAAGAAAGAGAGGAGAAGAACAGAGATGAGTTCAGAGAAGAACATAGCCAAATATATATATACATATATATATATATACACACATTCAGAGAAGAAAAAATAATGAACCAAGAACAGAGATAAACATACGTACCTGGTTATTTTCCTCGATCTGAAGGTGAAACTCGAGAAATTTGGGCTTAGACAACTACTCTTCTACAATAGGCCATGCGGGCATGTTGTAGAAAGGGCTTTCTACAATGCATGCCCCTTCTAGAAAATGTGTTGTTAAAAGCTCATTTTGTTGTAGTGTTTTCAAGTTTCTCACCTAATTTTTGCCCTTTTCCCAATTCTTTTGCACGCCAGGTGTTTGTTAAAAGTCCCGAACCAAAATTCCTCACTCCAATGGCCTCCAAGGTTGCTTCAAAACATGCTCGTTCATCTGAGGGCCCTTCTAATGCGCCTCCAACCCCAAATTGGGCTGAATGGCCAATCGTTCTCGAAGCCAAGTTCGCTATCAAAGATGGTTTTGAGCATAATCATGGGACGGCGTGGTCCGTCTACGAGTTGAAGGAGTGTGGTCTTGAAGCCCTCTTCAAACCAAGTGCTCACTCCTACTACTCATGCGTGGTCCGTCTCTTCTATGCCAACATGTTCTATTCATGTATGGAACCGGACAAAATCAAAACCACCATTGATGATTATGAGTATGAGTACACCCTTGATAATTTTGCTTTGGCCATGGACTGCCCGTTGATTTCGCCTACGGATGAGGCGGGCCTCCCCCTTTATGTTGAAGGTCCTAATCAACTAACATTGTCGGACATTGTGCACACAATGTGCCACAACCAATACACTGGCACTTGAACCACAAGCACCAACAAGTCCTTTTTGCAATGCCGATTGTGGTTTCTTGATTCGGTCCTCGCTAAGAATGTCCTTCCCGTGCCAGGCCATTCCGAGCATAAGGGGGATTTTCTGAAAACCCTCTACAATGCTGAAAAGGGGTATTGGTTTTGCGTCCCATAGCTTGTCTGGGACCAAATGCTAAAAATTTACAATGAATTAATCTTGATTAGGTCGCACACTACCACCACATAGGCATTCCCTTTTCCTTACCTTATCACAAGGTTGCTTAAAGATGCCGGATTCAAAACACCTCGGGGTGAAGATAAAGAAAAGATGGTTCTTGATTTTACTCTTGGGGACTGAAAGTCGAGCACAGTTCAACTTAAGGCATCCCGTCAGGCCCGCATTGGGGGCGAATTGGATTGGGGTGCTCCGGCTCCCCCTGTGGCTCCTGCCCCTCCTACTCATCCTGCCCCCGCTGCTCCAACTGCCCCTGTTGTTCCGCCACTGGATGTCATGACCCAGGCTGATTATCTTGCCCTCAATGCTCATCTTGATGCATTTCACATACACCTAGACAACATAGAGGGCATCGTTAAGGCGACTCAGGAAGGTCAATAGGTTTTGAAAAGCATGCTTCAGATGTTGATCGACCGTGCACCTGATGCACCCGGTGGTTCTTCTTCCACTCCGATGATGGAGTGACTTTATGATTCTAGCTTTTATTTCCAGTTTTAGTAGTACTTTTTAGACGTCTTTTAGGCCGTGTTTGGCATTTATTTTTTGGTTTCTTTTAAACTAATAACTACATCTCTTTTGCTATTTTGCATGGATATTAGCGTTGAAATAAATTGCAGTTATTTTTAGTGATTTCTGGATTCATATGATTTTTACCCTGTATAGATGCTTTTGACAGGTTTTTGAATTCAAGTTTGGGGGTGTGCTCGTGGAATTCATGAAGTGGCTTATTTTTGCACCGCCACTCAATTCCTCTTCAACTTGGTACTATTGTTCTTGTCGCACTCTTCATTTTTCATTATTTATCCTTTGTTTTCTTACAATGAGGACAATGTGAACTTCAAGTTTGGGGGTGCATTTCTTACATTTTTGCTCGCATGCAAGTTAATAAAATAATTTTTTGTTGGAAGCAATGATAAGTGTAATCATAGAACCTTTTGGAGATTGAAACATGTGTTTAAGACTTTGTGTATAGAGGCTAAGGATAATTTTGAAAATAAATTTTTTTTGAAATAACCATGTTGATTCATTTTGGTTCATATAAATGCTTTAATTGATTTTTCGTCGGATTTCATACTTTTCTATGCTTCACATTACACAAATGCACACCGGAAACCTAATTGTAAGGTATGCAACCCAATTGACCTTGACCATGACATAGTGGATTTGAATTGATGGCCCTAATGAATGGTTACCTTTGGCATGAAGTTATTAAAATAAAAAAAATGATAATGACCAGTTTGTTCGTAGCATTTCCAACTCTAGTTATTAAGCCCTAGGAGTGTCTCTACACTTAGCACCCTAAAGCCATTTGGTTTGGGAGTTGTTGGCCTAACACTTATTACATAAGTTGGTTGGTTAGAAAACTTAAGGGACTTAGACATTGCACGGTCATTCACAAAAAGATAAATAAATAAATATGGTTCGTTGGAGTTCGTAGCCTTTCTAACTCAAGTTATTAAGCCCTAGGAGTGTGTCTACACTTAGCACCCTAAAGCCATTTGGTTTGGGAGTTGTTGGCCTAACACTTGCTATATGGGTCGGTTAGAAAGCTTAAGGGACTTCAGTATTGCACGACCATAGTATGTAAAAAAAATAAGCAACAAAAGTTGTATTATGAATAAAGTCATGCCTTAGGGATCCCATTTAGAAGGAAATTCAATGATTTGAAGGCTTGTATTCCTGAGATTGGAAAAAGAGGGTAAAAGTCGCATATTGGAAATCCAGTTCACTTTCACTGAAGTTAGAGTTCAATTCTATTTTAGAAATGACAATTGAAGTGTTTATATAGACTATGATGATTGATGCATAATAGTGGAAATGTGTTTTACCATGTTATATATCAAGGCCTCATATATGCAAGGTAGTCTACTTAATGAGTCTGTCTCCAATTTTCTATTGTTCCAAAGATACATTTGAGCTTTGTAGATACTTTCGCACTTCATGATTAATGCTTGTTGTCAGCAGTTCATATGTTGTCATTTTTATTGGGTTCTATATTTTGATTTTTGCTATGGACTAGCAAAATGTAAGTTTGGGGATGTGATAAGTGCCGAATATTGCATATTCAAGCGCCCTTATTTGCATTAGTTGACTCCAGTTATTGATTATAATGTATAGTTTAGTTTTATTCGTTTATTTTGTCCTTGTTCAGGTCAGTTCCCCTGAAGGTGGTTAAAAGAACGGTGTTAACAAACTTTTGAAGATCCAAAGCTAGCCGTTGTTGGGGACTGTTGGTTACGTCCAGTTTTTGAAGCCATCGTGAGTATGAAATTGATGGCCTTGCATTCACTTCATGACAATGTCACGGCACCAACAAAAGATGTTAAGAAGATGGCTGAAGGAGTTGAGGCCAAAGAACCCGCCGTGCCGCCGCCACTGCGGCGCCCGCCAAATTGCCCATCTTACTGCCTACTTTCGCGGGGCCCCGCCGCATATTCGCAGGCCCCCGCCGAGCTCCCGTGGCGCCCGCATTTCATGCCAGTAGCCATCTTCGGAAATGCGAGCCCCCGTCGGCGCATCGCAGGCGCTTGCCATTTTGCAGAAGGTAGCTTACCTGCCCCTAATTTCCAGCTGATCCTTGTCCCCTTATCATTTTTCTGTGGTCCAACTTCATCCTGGGGAAGTGGAGCTCGGAAATGAGGGGGAAAGAGGAGATTTTTGGTAGATAAGGAGAGGAAGGCTTGACTTTCTAGGGGAGGACATTTTACATCAAGATTTCTAGAGAGAGAAAGATTAAAGAGGAGAGTTCTTGGGTGGCTAGGGCTGAGCTCGAAAATGGAAGGAGTCTCCAAGCTTCCTCCTTCCTCTAGTGCATCCATGGGTAACTAAACCTTCATCTAGGGAGGTGATGAAGCCCCTCCCTTGTAAGTATGTTCTAATTTAGATTATATTGTGGGATAACAAAGTATATTCTTTGGTCATTTCATGATCTAGAGCCCCATAATTGTTGTAATGGATTTTAAATGTCTATAAATGATTATTTTGAGTTATTCATCATGTCTTAGATGGTTACTTCTCTTAATCATATTGCTTGCACTTCCACAGTGACAATGGAAATGAGATCATAGAATAGTTTTCATGGCATGTTAATAGAGAAACTTGATAGTCCATTGCTTAGGTATTTCCTTTGATGGTTTATGCTTGATTCCTAGTTTCATGTGTTTCATCATTTGATTAAAGGCTTGATGATCTTTTGCTTAAAAGAGTATGCTTGATGCTACACCCTAGTTTAGGTAGTTCAAATGTATAAACTTTTGATGGATCATTCTTGTTTTTGATTTAATGAACATCTTGATGATTATACGGCAATCATGTGTTGCTATATAATTCTTGACCATTATATATTGTCTATCCCCAATTTAGTCTTTGTCTAGAATGTGTATAGGGTTGAAGGTAGATTCACTTCCCTAGTCCCTTCTTATTTGTCTCTACCTCTTTACTTTAGTGTTTTATGCATTTTAATTCTTAATTTTAGTGACAAACCAATAAATCTCTATTTACACCGTTCATCAAACTAAAGGGAATTTAAAAACCTTAGTTGCCATAAACTGGCAGTCCTAGTGGTTCGACTTACCTGACTAATAGCCCTATTTTACAATGATTTGTGCTATTGCAAAGGTTGATGTATAATTGTCATATCGATCACTAGGGGAAAAAAAAAAAAGGTCCTGCCAGAACTGAGAGCCAAAACAAGGTCCGAAACGAATTTTTCTGAAAAAACACGAAGAAGAAACCTCCACTAAAATTGAGTTTTCTACCCGACTACGTAAAAGAAAATGAAAAAAAATCACTATGAATCCCCAAAATGCCCCTAGATCAGAAGAGGTCAAGAAGGCCAAAAAGCTGCTACAGGATCTGTCCATAACTAAGAGCAAAAAGGGGCTATCAAACAAATTTTTTTGGAAAAACACGAAGAAGAAACCCCTCCCGAAATTAAATTTTCTACCCGGCAGCATGAGAGAAAATTAAAAAACACACTGTAAAATGGCCAAAATACCCCTAGATCAGTAAAGGGGTTAAAAACTCAGAAAATGCAACTTTGCACCAAGTATGCATTTGACCCTAAATGCATTTCTAGGTTGAAACGAATGTGCACACAAGTGTAATAAATGATTTTAAGCGTGCGAGAATGGTCTGCGACTCCCGAGAATCCCCGACTCAAAATCTGACCCCCCGACGGCCAAAAATGATAAAAATGAACTTGAAATGCAAAATTTGAAATCC